AAATATTAATATTACCTTTGAATATTATATTTTACCAATTCAGAGCGGCACACGATTTGCATGCAAAATTCATGCAATATTTTTCTCAGCCTGTCAAATCGTCAAGAATAGGAAACCGATTAACATCGATTTTCATGATAGTGAAAATTCCGATCTGAACATCTTGTATCATTTTGTCAGGGTCTCAATATGTTGCCACTAAACAAGATCAAGAAACCAGAAAGACATGACCGTTCAAGGGATCGAGATGGAGGAGATGAACATCCAGCTGACAACCAGCCAACTTTTGGTGTAGGCTTCGACGATGAATTGACACATACCATATAAATTTAGAATAATGTGGATTCATCTCGGACATGTTAGATGTGGTGCATCACCCTTCGATACCTTCATATATAAACAATACCTTTGCAAATAGTTGTTGATTTGGTTGCTGTACCTTCCGAAATCTCCGCGACATCTCAAGTAACCCACCAAAAATGCGCGTGACCAAATTCGTGGAGTTACTTAAGGGGACCATAGAAAGCTGAAACATATTCTGATTCGACATCCCAGTTTTGGTAGACTTCCCAATAAGAATTTTCAAACCAATCATCGACTTAGCACAGGAAGTGGTTCTGGAAATGGGTACCTGCAAAATTCAGCCAGGAACATCAGTTTTTCATACTTTTCCCCATGTGAATGTCTCTTATATTGGGCTGAAATCCCTCATGCTATCAGTGCGCAGAAAAACATGTCAGCTCCACTGGATTCACTTGAGATGCTGGCAGACCCAGAGGCATCTGCCTTAGCAGATATGATCGGATCAGTGGGGACACGATGCATCGAAGGAAATTGCAGACCGCACAAAACTGGAGTGTACAGGTGAACGTCCTTCTCAAGATGCCTCATCACCATCTTGTGTAAATTTGTCATATTTCATACGTGGTTCAGCATGTACATATCAAAAGCAAAAGTGAGGAGTCCGAACAGTGCAACTGATAATGTACAATAGCAAAATTGATTTCTAATGACGTGTCCATATCCAATGACATAATATATATATATGCGTATATATATATACACAGTATATGTGTATATATATATGTAAATATATATATATATATGTATATATATATATATATGTGTATATATATGTATATATATATATGTGTATATATATATGCGTATATATATATATATATACATATTTCCCATGATATTCATCCATCTTCACTTTCCCTGGCCATATCTTCCTATCTTCCGAGGTAGGTCACCACCTCCATCAACTTCTCATGCAGTTGAAGCAATGCTTCCTCACCTGGATGCCCCAACGTGCTGAGACCTCCACCATTTATATCCTGGTCACAAATTGAACCTAAAATCCACTGGCATCAGGTTGGTATCTTTAAAATCCATAGTTTATGGATATCAATTGGTATATCAACTGGAGCTATTAAAATGCATGTCTCAAAGCGACTTCAAGCCAACCAAAGGCAATAAAATGCAATAAGTTCACTACAGTTTCTGGTTTGGTTTTGGCCGATGACCAAAGTGTCCACATTGTGTTCATGCACGATTGCATCAGCAGTGCTGCTCCTTTATAGATATAATATAGATATAATATAGATATAATATAGATATAATATAGTATAGATATAATATAGATATAATATAGATGTCTATATATATATATTCATTTTGGATCCTCATCCCAAATAAACGGCAAGATAGACAAATGTGGAAGTAATGCCCAAATTTTTGTATAACCCCAATATCCCTGTGACTGATAGTTCATGCCCCCCACTACTTCTGTTTACTCTCCCAAGGTTTGATGCTTAAGTCACGCAACCTTGACGCTTAATTCTCCCATCCCCAACCAACCTATTAAACCACTTTTATTCTGTACTGATATGAAGTTAAAGACGCATCGTATCCCAAATAACGTCAATATCCCAAGCTGCACGTCATGTTCTCCTAAAATTCAGTAAAAGAAAACAAACAATTCCTTTAGTTACTCCATATATTTGTTCCATAAAATGTGCATCAAATATATATATATATATCAAAGTCACATGATTTTCGCTTCATTTTCCCACAAGATTCCCTTTAAACTGTAAACTCTAAGAATTGCCCATAAATCTCCCATCAACATCCAAAACAAAACAATATATTCTCAATCAAAAAATATCTATTTCTCCATCCAACACTCCCATCTTTCCACCTTTTTCCCTACGTTTTCCGACCTTCAGTGAGATCCACATCGACGTCCTCGTCCCACATGGCTAACGCCGGCATCCAGGCTTGGATCATCTGCAGTTCCGAGATCAGCTCTGAACAGCTTGGCTCCTCAGGTGAAAAAAATGGGTGACGATCAACAGGTTTTCTCTTAACCATAGTATTATGTCATATACTAAGGTTAGCTATATATATCACTAGGTTATATGTTTACTAATAATAAGTCACTATATATATATATATATTTATTTAAAAGTAGGTTATATATACACAATAGTTTAATTACTACAACTATAGTTAATAATCGTGATATAGTTATATAGTAATCAATATAGTTTATAGTTAATAGAGAATGATACTATAGTTAATCAACTGTTTGAACGTTTGTCAACTATGGCTCATAATCATGAAATGATTATGTAAGAATTAATGGTTTATAGTTGATAGCTGTTAATAGTTACTAAAGCATAGAGAGCAATGAAAATGTCATCCCCATTAACTCTTAACTTGAGAGGGGGAACACAAAAGGTAGGTAAGCAAGAAAGGAACCGAAGAAAAAATGAAGCGGAGAGGGGAGGGAAAAATACATAAAGTGGAGTCTGGTAAAAGCGACGCGGCCATTTTCTTTCCAAAAATATGAAGGGGAGTCTGGTAAAAGCGACTGAAAGGCTTCGGCGATGTGGTTGGGGTTGGTGGTGGTTGTGGTGTTCGTGGTGTTGGTGGTGCTGGTGGTGTTGGTGTTGTTGGTGTTGTATGTGGTTGGATGTTTTGATCTAGTAGGTCGAAGGTTGGTGTGGTTGGGTTTGTTGGTGGTGTTGGTGTTGTTAGGGGCTAGATGGTTGTTGCTGTTGTTGTTGCTGTTGTTGTTGTTGTTGCTGTTGTTGTTGCTGTTGTTGCTGCTGCTGTTGATGGTGTTGTTGTTGTTGTTGTTGTTGTGTGTTGTTGTGTGTTGTTGTGTGTTGTGTGTGTTGTTGTGTGTTGTTGTGTGTTGTTGTGTGTTGTTGTGTGTTGTTGTGTGTTGTTGTGTGTTGTTGTGTGTTGTTGGGTGTTGTTGTGTGTTGTTGTGTGTTGTTGTGTTGTTGTTGTGTGTTGTTGTGTGTTGTTGTGTGTTGTTGTGTGTTGTTGTGTGTTGTTGTGTGTTGTTGTGTGTTGTTGTGTGTTGTTGTGTGTTGTTGTGTGTTGTTGTGTGTTGTTGTGTGTTGTTGTGTGTTGTTGTGTGTTGTTGTGGTTGTTGTGGTTGTTGTTGTTGTTATTGTTGTTGTTGTTGTGTGTTGTTGTGTGTTGTTGTGTGTTGTTGTGTGTTGTTGTGTGTTGTTGTGTGTTGTTGTGTGTTGTTGTGTGTTGTTGTGTGGTGTTGTGTGTTGTTGTGTGTTGTTGTGTGTTGTTGTGTGTTGTTGTGTGTTGTTGTGTGTTGTTGTGTGTTGTTGTGTGTTGTTGTGTGTGGTTGTGTGTTGTTGTGTGTTGTTGTGTGTTGTTGTGTGTTGTTGTGTGTTGTTGTGTGTTGTTGTGTGTGTTGTGGTGTGTTGTGGTGTGTTGTTGTGTGTTGTTTGTGTTGTTGTGTGTGTTGTTGTGTGTTGTTGTGTGTTGTTGTGTGTTGTTGTTGCGTTGTTGTGTGTTGTGTGTGTTGTGTGTGTTGTTGTGTGTTGTTGTGTGTTGTGCGTTGTGCGTGTGTGCATTGTTGCAATTGTGCCGTTGTGAGCTGTTGCATGTGCGTTGTGTGTGTGGCGTGTCGTTGCCTGCATTGTGCGCCCCATTGTGCGTTGTGCGTTGTGCATTGTGCGTTGTGCGTTGTGCATTGTGCATTGTGCGTTGTGTGTTGGTGTTGTTGTTGTTGTTGTTGTTGTCGTCGTTGTTGTTGTTGCTGTTGCTGTTGGTGTTGTTGTTGTTGGTGTTGGTGTTGGTGTTACCCCTGCAGCGTTTTTGCTCGGTTCCGTAGTGGCCGAAAATCGTCAAATCGGTGGTGTTTTCGCGTGTTTTTGCAACTCTCGGAGCAAAAAACACCGTAAATACCGATGTTTTGGCGGGTCGGAAGCCCAAAACCACAGTATTTACGATGTTTTTTGCCTCTGGTAGTAAAAAGCACGGTATTTACAGTGTTTTTTGGCCAGCACCTAGCAAAAACACTGGTATTTACGGAGGTTTCACCATGTAGCAAAATGTGGTTTCTTGATCCGAAAAGAACAAAAATACTGTAAATTACAATGTTTTGAGTCTGCTCTTAGGGTGCGTGGGAGGTGTGGAGGGGGGGGGGGTACTAAAATGACTAGCAATCTCCTGAAGAATCAGGTAACGGGGCTGGCCGCCCTCCCCTTTACTTCGTAAAGTAAAACTCAAGGTAGCCCCTCTGGAGCTACCTTTCGTGACTATGCATAAATAGCAGCAATCTCGCCCTTTCACTTGTTAAGTATTAACACTGCAACTACGGACTATGAACAATTTGAATATGCGTAGTTGATACTATATTGAATATTAAGTAACAATGATCAACTGTTAACTACAGTATTAGTGATATGAACTATAACTCTTCAACTATTGACTAATCTTGATAATTATTATCATATATGTTCATTCTATGCTTGTTGTAATCTATTATGTTATCTTTATTGTCTAT